ATATTGTTGTTCGAATTTTACTTCGTATTCTCGTATAGACTGTTTATATTCTCATGAGAAATGGTCGTAAAAGTGAGGTAAGATCTGCTTATTATTTTATTTTTACCACTACCTTTATTAATTAAGTCAATAAGGAAAGAAAAAAAACATTATTAATATGCATACATACATACATACATACACTCACTTACATATGTTCTGTGTATATGATTAAGTGTATTAAATATTTTCTCTACTTGAGTATTTAATTGAATTCGTGCTAGTTGGTAGTTTGTATTCACACACTTCAACTTAAAAATGTAACAACAAAATTATTTAAAAGAGCAACACGCAAGTTGCTCATTCTTCTTGTGATGAGAAAGCTTTCAGAATGCGCGGTAGATTGAAAAAAAATGTGATGACTAGTCAAAAGTGCTTCAATATAAGTTCATTTGAATAAATAAATGATTTTCTAATCTACTCTATTCTTGTATATATATACAAACATGTAATACAGACACTGAAAGACTAATGGATATATTTTACATATTCTCATACGATCTTCTCTCTTTATTTAAATTATATGTATCTTGATACACTTTGGCTGAAGTTTTCACTTCTTTTCCACAAAAATTTAGTTTTGTGACTCTTTGATAAGACACGTCTCACAAAACCATCACTGGCGCAGGATGATGACCACGTTGTACCTTTCCGATCACTTGAGCAGCTTCTTTAGAACTGTGAGCGTACACTTTGTCATTTCGTACATAGTAGTGTTCTTCAATCGTGAAATTTTTTTCAACTGTAAATAGGATATTTCTGTGTCTTTCACCTGCGTATCGCGACAGAAGGCGTTTTGATCGATCCCCTCTCATTAATTGTAAAGATTGGTTCAGATCATGTCTTATATATCAACGATAAGGACCGAGTTTCAGGTCTTGTTTTATAATACGCCGCAGAGTCCCAACAAGAATTTTCATTTTCGCGATAAGATTTTTGCTTTTTTTAGATTTTTTTAGAGGTGCATAATTTAATAGTTTTGGCGAATTTTGGCTTTAACAGCATTAACAACGTTTGTAGTTCTAACAGACTGATCTTTTCTGGTCTTCGATAGACGAAGTGTTGTTGTATCTGTTGATAGTACGATATATGAATATACGGATGATACCAAGCTTTTGAAGTGTCTGGAATATGACCGACGGCTCCATACCCATTTTGTGCAAGGTAATCACTGCAATCCAATTTTCTGTAACACATGGGGTGTTCATATTGCAATTTGATAATGAACTCAAAAAAATATGTGAAATGCCGCAAAATCGAAAGAGGTTTTAAAAACATGTGTTCCAGATTCAAAATAAGTAAAGTTGAAAAAAAAAACATTTTTGTTGTGTAACAGTATTTATGGCCAAACTAGTTATATTCTCATGCCAACTATATTTTCATTATTACTATCTCACACTGACTCACTATTATTATTTATTCTTTATATTTATTTGAAACAGGAAAATTATAGAAATACTAGCTAGCCTGACAAACATAAACAACGTTGCCAGTAATGCCATGTAATTTAATAATAATCATAATATTGCTTATTATGGCTTCTAAAAAATAGGTGTTGATGGTAGAAGGATGAAGCTTTCGGGTTTTATGTATTGTTTTAATGACGAATCATAAAATAAAAAAAAAAAAAAAAAATTTTGCGGTGGGCCACCCTCATCACTTATGGGGATATAAAATAGACCTAACATATTCTGAGACCTAACGAGTAATAAGTAATGTAGTGAGTGTAAGTAATGTAAAATTTCAACAAATTCAGTTAAGCCGTTTCGGAGAAGTATTATTTTAATGGTAAATATATTTCTCTCTCTATGATCTTTATTTACCATAAAATTATTCGTGTTAAGACCCGGTTAAAAATAAATCTCTAAATCATAATAAAGAATAAACCAAAAGAAGACGAAAAAAATAATTGTTTTGTTGGAGAATAAGTATCATAGTTCGGAATGTTGGCACCATATTCTTTAAATTTGGAAGGAAATAACAAACAGTTTGGCGCAGTCCTGCCAACATTAGTGACGTCAAATATTGTCTAGACTTCATACTATTAAAAAAATATATATAGACGTGACTCACTTTCTCTTATTTGGGTCATAAAATTGTTTATCACTAAGACAACAACTGAGAACATGTTGATTAGGACGTGACATGCTAAAAAAACCTCAATTATCTTTAGTCATTGATTCAATTTTTGTACTGTCGTCTACATGGAGTTTCTCAATCTCATCTATTTCGACTGCTTACCAGCTTGCTTTATAAGATGCGTTGTTGTAATGCGATAAGGCACTAGTTTTTTTTAATGGATGTTATGGTTCACCCGCCTGCGCTAACGGTTTACGCTGTTGGGGCACCAGTGGAAAGTGATAAGTTGAGCATGAGGTTAGGTCAGTTAGCGTATCGTGATAAATTTACCAGAAATTTATCACGATGGTTTTCAGGAGCAACCTTTTGGCATGGTACATTTATAGCAATGGGGTCATCAGTCCATATTACTAACAATGCCTTTCCCCGGCACCAGTGGAGTAAGCATCGCCATGATAAGATGAATATGAGGTCAGGTCAGTTAGCCCAACGTGATAAGTTTATTTATGTATTGGGAAAACCAACAACTACAAGTAACAACTTAATATATGTGGATAAGAACCCAATAGGTCTTCGGGGGGAAAGGGGATCGTTAGTCATGTGGACTGATGATCTTATTGCTAGCGGTGTACCATATCAGGTTGAGCTCCACGCAGTTAACCCTGGAAACCATCATGAATATTCTTGTTGAATGAATATTGGTGTTAGTAATTATATTAAATTCTTGGTGTATTTGTCACAGTGGACTAACTGACCTGAGCTCATGCTCATTTTGTCATCCTCCACTGGTAAACCGTTTGCGCAGGCGGGTACATTTCATTATCATCCATAAAAAAAATTGTTCTTCTAGAATAGTACTTTTATAAACTTAACAAAAATAATACAGCCTGGAAAAAAAACAAGACTTAAAGTGAACGTTGCTATTGTCACGTTATCATTAAATACGTGATAGGAATTCTTGATTCTTTCCAGGGGGAACCGTGTGGAGGTCACCTAACATAGTATATTGTTAACAATGATATCATTAGTCACATATAAACAACCCCAATTCACCAAAAAATCATCACCATGGTTTCTAAGGGAACCAACCAAAGGGGTGGAGGTCAACCTGATATGGTAGCTATGAGGTTATTAGTCCACATTACTAACAGTTCTTTCCCCCGATTTGAGATATGAGAGCCTGTAAGAGACCTACATGAATAATATGATGACTGAACCTCTGTTTCAAGTATTTCGGTATTAATAACTATTTAATTTTAAAGACAACAATACTAAACTAATTATATCATTTACATAACTTAATTATACAACTACAACCTAAAATTAAAAAGCTTAAAAAATATAATACAATAACTAAAATATATTATTAAAAGGGGTCCCTTTAGGCAACGTTCCGAAGATACTGGCAGCGTTCCCTCTTTGAATAGCTAGACTAATTCTTTGTCCAAGGTAGCTGCCAGCTCTTCGGTCTTCTGTGATGTCGACTAACCTTTTCGTTATTTCTTTGAATAGTCTTATAGCGCTGGACAAGGCTTGTTGGATCAGCTAGATATAGTCTGAAGGGAGCCTGTAATAGACCTACATGAACAATTTGATTTGATGTGATTTGAATTTACATGGCAAAACAAGGCTTATTGTTTAATCAGCTAGATATACTCTGAAGGGAGCCTGTAATAGACCTACATGAACAATTTGATTTGATGTGTTTTGAATGTATATGGGAATATAAGGTTTGCTGGATCAGCTAATTTTAGTTTAAAAGTCACTCACTTCTAACTAGGTTACATAATACAGTATAATAACAGTGATAGAACGTCGCAATAACAAATGCGTAGTTTTCAAAGCGGAGACTACTGAAATCATGTGTGTCACTCGTGCATTCTCTCGAATGTTTCTGTATGACGTAGCGCTCCGATTGCGCGGGCGCATGTAATGTAAACATTCGAGAATTTGTTACTAATCGGAACTGATAGTACTCGTATACTGTAACAATATTTAAAAGAGCAACACACAAGTTTCTTGCTCGTTCTTCTTGTGATGAGACAGCTTTCCGAACGAGTGGTAGATAAAAAACAAATTGTTATGACTATTCAAAAGTGCTTAAATTAAGTTTATTTGAATAAATGATTTTCTATTCTATTCTATTCTATATATAGAAAACGGTACAGGAGACTTTTTTAAATGAATATACATATTTTTATAATTGACGGTATTGGTTGTCTAGTGGTAGCACACCGCTAAAATAATTGTTCAATTGGAATCAGTTAATGAAATGTGCTTGTTCAAACAAACAACTCTCTAGCTTATATTACTATTAGTATGAATAATCTATACATCTAAATAAAATCGAGTCGAGTGTCTGTTTATAATATTGAAATAACCGTTTTTTACCACTTGCAAATGAATATAAATACGGTACATACTCCACATTTGTTACTTATTTTTGTCTGTCTATCTGTTTGTTCCGGCTAATCTCTGAAACCGTTAGACCGATTTTGACGGGACTTTTTTTAACAGGTAGCTGATGTAATAAGGAGTAACTTAGACTAATTTTATTTAAGAAAAATAAACTTAAATTCCACGCGGACGGAGTCGCGGGAACAGCTAATTAATAATAATAAATAACCTTGGACAATTAACACAGCGTCATCTAGTTCCAGTGTAAGCAGAGCTTGTGTTATGGGTAATACCCATAACTGACAACTGATATAAATACTTATCTATATTTTTTTGTAAATACATACTTAATATATATAGGAAGCACCCAGACTGATACAAACAGTCATACTCATGAAGAACCTGCGACCATCGTAAGTAAGGCGGTGTATTAAACCGCTAGACCATAGAGGCCGTCTAATAATAGTTTGTCTGTTTGATTGCAGCGGAGATGGAGCGTCGTTGAACGCCGCCGGCAGCAAGCGCTCCGCCCTGTCGGCGTCGGACGCCGAGTGCTTCTCGCTGTGCCTGGGCGCCGGGCCTCTGTGGTGAGTAACTTTTTTTTCGGACTACTCTAATGCTGGCCGCAGCTGGCCTTGACAGCTGCACAGGTCGATAGGGGGCAAGTGCAGATGGCACTCCAAACCCGCGGAAGGACTATGTATATAATAAGTAAGAGGTACTAATTTAACGTTTGTAAATATAATAATAACAAATCGGTACGAACACAGCGCCGAATGGTCCCAAGCTAAGCAGAGCTTGTGTTATCGGTACTAGACAATCAAAAATATTCAATAGTCTAACCCCAAAAAGCCAAAGAAAACACTTCATCGTTCTAGCTTCAAAAATGACGATTTTCCACATAAAGTTTCATCCTTAGAATATCGTCATATTTATTTATATTTAATAAAAAATAAGTTTCAAGCTTCTAGCTTTAAAAATGACGATAATTTCATACAATCTTTCATCTCCCCTTATAACTTATTTGGTTTATTTTTATTATTAACTTTCGCATTTATACTAATATTTGGTAAGGATAGAAAGCAACGCTTCTGTGTACACGTCTGCATCTTGGACCCAAAAATAAGTTTAAGAGATGCAATGCTCAAACAGTGCGACGATTACTTGCGTGGCTTGTGCATACCACCGTAGTTGCAGTCGGACCCGATGACGGGTGACGCTTCTCACGTAATTCTGTGGAATATTAAATCCTATAGGATTTAATATTCTATAGAATTACGTGTTAATTACAACTTTCAATATGTACAACGTATAACATCGTATATAGGTTGGGTACACAGGCAACGGTTGCTGCTTACCATCAGGTGGGCTGTCAGCTTCTTGTCCATCCAGTTTTATGTAATGTGGTGTACCGTCGGCAGGTGGTCCTGATGTCCCTGCTCATGGCTCAGCACCGCCCGGAGGGGTGAATAGCGGGGCTTCGAGCCCCGCAACACCATCCACCCCCACCCACGACGACAACAACCGTAAGTACAATGCCAGACAGCTTTCAAAATGAGGGGTAGATTAAAAAACATATATTTCTATAGAATAGAAAATCCCAGGTTAGGTTAGTTAGGGGTTTGACTCAAAATATGGGGAAAATTTGGACGGTTTTTTTATGGATGTGTCCCCAAGTATCGTTTAGAAAAAGTCAATAGGTCTTTTAAGGGAATAGGTATAAAAATTTACAATAAGATACCAAAGGATATATTGGAATTACCCTTAAATAAATTCAAAACATCTGATATATTGAGCAAGGCCTATTACTCACTAAATGATTACTTGAATTGCATGGTAATAGTTTTCATGTACGGGATTTTCATTTAATGTTATAAACCTGTATATATATATATAACTATCCATTGTAAATAAACTGGCTTTTAAAAAAAACTAATTCAAAATTCTTGCCAGTTCTTCTAAAATAGATCTATATACCTAACTGGACATGAAAAAAAATAATGTAAAAATGATTTTTCTAAAATGTCCTACATGAATAAATGATTTTTCAATTTGAATTTGATGATAATGGAATGATACACCCGTCTATGATAGGATGAGTATGAGGTCAAATCAATTTGCACATCTTGGCGATTTTACCAGAAAATGACCACGATGGTTTCCAGGCACTGTTTAAAGTTTAAAAATAAAATAAAAATGTACGTGCAGGTGACTTGTTGAGCGCTCTACTATGGGTGAGCGCGAGTTCCCTGGCCAGCAGTGCGGAGAGTCTGGTCACCGAGGCGAACTCGCCCACCGGTACCCATCCAGCCCTTCATCAGGAACGACGTGAAGAGGTCAAACATTTTCCTTAATATTTTTTTAAGTCATAATTGAATGGTGCTTCCTGCGCTAATGGTATACGCTGGCAGGGCACCAGTGGTGGCCTATAACATGAGCATGAGGTCAGGGCAGATAGCCCCTCGTGGTAATTTTTTTTAATATTTGATAATTGAATGGTGCACCCTGCGCTAGGTGAGGTCAAATCAGTTATCCCATTGTGGTTAATTCTGTATTTGCTTTTAAACAAAATATGTTTTTAATTTTCAGATAATACGCAAGATACTCGAGCGCAAAGACCGCCAGCCCGTGAAGATCGACTTTAAAATTTTCCTCACGGAGAACACTGTCACTCGCTGGGAAGCTGTAAGTAGTTTTATTTTAGAACCTCCACAAACGACTAAATGACATGAAACTGGTCTGCTCCTCTATAGGGGGGCCGGGGCTAGACATTTTGCCCCGGTATCGACTCCGGGGCAGCAAGCCCCGGGTAACTGGGTTGACAGCCTCTTAGGGTTTCTAAAACTGACTTACATTATAATAATATGTAACCGCACTAAATTGTATAATAATAATCTCAAGACAATTCACACAGCGCCATCTAGACCCAAGTTAAGTTAGCTAAAGCTCGTGTTATGTCTATTAAATAACTGACAAATACATACATTTTTTTACGTCAATAAATACATAATATACATAGAAAACACCCAGACCGATACAAACAATTATACTCATTAATGCAAATGTTTATACCGTGCGAGGAATCGTACTCGTGACCATCGGAATTAAGACGGTGTGCTAAACCGCTAGACCACCGAGGCCGTCAAATGTATATGACGCTGTCTGTACATAAAGTACAGGCGGTGACACGTCATACTGATTATATCACGTTATCAGCGAGCCGTGTCAACAGATGTGTCAACGCACCCATTCTCACTGACACCGATAATTGACATAGGGTTAGTTCTATTTTCAGCGTATATAACGTTACTAGCTGACCCCGCAAATGTTGTTTTTCTATATAACACCTGTCGTCCGTTTATCGCGCCTGTACAACGATCTTGCAGAGGAAAATCCTGAAGTTGATATTCTCTTTGACAATCACTCCGAGTTCATAACTAAGCTCAAATGTTGACGTTTCTTGTCCCATCAGAACGGTGTTATATGTATGTTTTATTCTATATATAAAAATAAAAATGTATTATATATATAAACCTTCCTCTAGAATAACTCTATTAAAACCGCTTCAAAATCCGTTGCGTAGTTTTAAAGATTTAAGCATAAATAGGGACGGACAGGCAGCGACAGCGACAGCGACAGCGACTTTATTTTATACTATGTAATGATTATTAGTAGGATTCAACTATAATTAATATTATTGACATATGTAATAGTAGTAATTTTAGCGATATAATATCAAAGTAAAAATAAAATAAACATAAACTCAAAGCAAGCTGTGGTTACCTATAAATATGAGAACAGTTAGTATAAGACAATTAGAATTGTATAGTATCACGACAGATTTTTATTGCTGTATCTTATGTTGGTCATCATCATCTGCTGTGGTCGTCGTAATGTTTTTCGCTTCCATTCATCCCTGTTCGCAGTCATCGCGTTATTTACTTCCTTTCTTACCATATCATCTTTCACACAGTCCATCCATATCTTTTTCGGCCTTCTGCCCTTATAACCGTCCACTATGAATGTAACACCTTTCTTAAAATATTATGCTGTATCTTATGTTGGTAATCCTTAAAAAATAAATAAATAAATAATTGTGAGGGAAGTTACTCCGAACTTCTCACTTTAACAGAGTAACTGTAGTGGTGTACAAGTAAATAATGTGGAATAATAATAAAGAAAAAATATTTCTAATCAAGATAATATAAAAACACGTTTAATAAAATAATATAGATAAGTTATACGGGTATATCAAAACGACGGCAGACAAGAAGACGAAACACAGTCTTTTCAAATATTCAAACATACTTCGTCAGCCATACAAGCAAGTCTAGTCATCGATTGCAAACCTCCTTCTAAGAATAATTATTAAAAAATAGGGGTTGATGCCACATAAAATATTTACAAAAAGTTTAAAAAAAATGTTAGGCATAGGTGTATGAAAAATAGATAGTAACCGATTCTCAGACCTAATTAATATGCCTATAAAATGACATAAAAATCGATCAAGCCATTTCGGAGGAGTATAGTAACTAACATTGTGACACAAGAATTTTATATATAAAAATAAAATAATAGGGTTATGTGGACACTTTGCGACGTATTTGGGTTGATTGATAGGGGTTAATAACCTGATCATGTTATAGTGTACGTCGTAGCTCAATGGCTTATACATTGTATAAGACATAAACTAAAAAAAAAATACATTTGAATTAACTTTAAAAAAATGCAGTAGATTTTTTGCCAATTCTCAATTGCATCTTTATACTGAACTGGACGGTAGGGAAAAAAATATTAATACAAAAACCTCTTTCATGAATAAAATAATGTTAATTTCATATTAATTTTTATTTTTTTATTATAATGTTACAGGTATTGCATGGCGGTACCATCTATCTCCGCGTGCCAGGGGTCCTGCAGTCTGGCAGCAAGGAGAGCTTTATGCTGCTCCTGGACTTCGCTGAAGAACGCCTCGGGTGTACCAAGTAAGGATTTTTTTATAGTATAGGGGACAAACGATCATGCGGCTCATCTGATGATAAGTGATTACTGCCGCCCATATTCAACACCAGGGGAATTGCATGTCTTTTAAGGTGGAATAAGCTCTTTTCTTGAAGGTTTCAATATCGTAGTGGTTCGGAAATACTATTGCTAGAAGGTAATTCTACAATTTAGCTCTCTCTCGCAATATACTTAGATTGTAGAGTGAACTATCTATCGAGGTTTTTTTGAGAGACAACAGCATGAGATGTTTCAAAAAGTGTATATTAGGGTTTGTTAATGGTTGGTAACGAGCAAGTGACACCTGGTGTTTCAGGCGTCCATAGGCTACGGTGTAGTATTTAACATAGATAGGCCGTATGCTTATTTACCACCATCATAGTATAAAAAAATGTGATTGTGAATGGCAAAAGCTTCTTTATATAACGCACCGCCACTCGTTGCGCCGCATATATACATTTTATTAATATACCTAAAACCTGTTCAACAATATTAATAATATCTATATATCTGTTATACATAAAATAATTTCACGTTAACTACCCTATGGGATAGACAGAGAGCAGTGAGACGAAGATGAGAGTGAGACGATCTATTGAACACGAAAGTTTAAAATTAAGATATATACATATAAATTGAATTTCACTTCCAGCTGTATCATCTGCGTGCTAAAGACCCGCCCGGACCGCGCCACTCTCCTGCGTACCTTCATGTTCATGGGTTTCCAAGTGCTGCCACCCAACTCTCCGCTAATGCACGCCATCACCAACCCTGATTATATATTTTTGCACTACAACATGCAGTAATGCCGTACAGCTGCACGGTTTTTGCAACTAGACATATTTTTCCCTACAAATATTGTTCTAGTTCCAATTATCATGGAACAACGCCATCTATTATCTGTATCGCAAAACTTGAAAACAGCTGTCATGTATCGAAATATAGATGGCGCTGATATTGTGACAGTGTCGTAGAAATAGTTATGGTTAAACAGTTTTTGTACGCATTGAGAGTTAATTAGTAACATTAAAAGTTTTAATATACTATACTGCTAATTCTTATTACTATACCAGAATAATATCTGTATTATTGGAATTTTCATTAAAAATCTTCATAAAAAGCCATATGCACATAGTCTAGACTATTGCATGTTTTACGGCAATACACATTTAAAAAGAAAATAATTTTATTGACCAAAGATAATAAATTGTAATAGAGTAAAAATTACAATATGAGTGAGTGATTTATTGCAACTTGAGACATTTTTATTATATATCTGATATCTACCATAACATATATATGTAATATGGTTAGCAGTATAGTATGAAAACTGTCACATTAAGTAGCTAAAAATAGAGTCCGCACGTTTTTTCTTAATCAGGGCTTGGTAGTGGTTTCAAGACGGCGCCAACAAGTCTAAATAGTATCTAGATGTTTAGTATATCCTTCTATTATGTACTCGCTGCGTCTAATTTATGGTTATAACGAAAAAAAATATCCTGACGAAATTACGAGCTTGCTAATGGATTTTATATTTTTTGTGTAAATGCATAAAATCGAAAATTCATTGCTGATAAATCGTTAGGCAAATTTGGTCATGATATTTTCTTTTCTTGTCATGAATAAACGTAGTTTATTAAGTATTTTGTTTCTACGATTTCAGCTTTGAATATAACGCATTATAATGAAGTATGTTAATTTATACTTATATATTTCTTTCTTCAAAACTGATATAGTAGAAATGTTTTATTATTACTTTTTTCATATTATTATATAACGAGTATGTATGTCGTCGTGTATTGTAATGTAATATTCACCCACTCCGGGGTAGAGCAAATAAAAAAATTATAAAAAAAAAAAACAAAAAAATATAAAAAAGTTAAAAAAAAGGTTTGTAAAAACTATTTCGAATTCCACCTTATTCACGACTCTAAACACTGTTTTTTTTATGTTTACACTAATAACACAATGGCTTGGATTTAATATGAAACAGCTCAAAACGCGATTTAGGCCTAAATTTAATACGTACCTATTTCTTTATCATTAAAAAAAATGCATAATGTAAACTATTCTATAGAAAATATTAATCACATTTATATCGGTAACCGTTTTTTCTTTGACAATTTCGAAATATTTTTTTCTATCGAATCATTGAAGTCTTTATTTTCTATAGTAAGTCAGTTAGCCTGCATACTATATACTATTCATAAGTAAATATAGCTTAAGTGGTTTTGTTTTAATTCCTTATTTAGTGTACATACCACGCGCACATGTTGGCGCGCATGCTCGCATACAAGTACGCCGACATGCGCGGGTGGCGAACTAGTTTATATTTTCTTGCGCTCCCTGTATAATTTTACAGTATTTCATTGAAAAGTATTATGCGATTATTACGTTGGGAAAACATGGGACGCGTTTATGTAAGTTTATTGTATTAATTGAGAAATATTAAAGTTAATCTTAATTATTATGTCGTTTTATTTTAATAGCTGTGCCCGCGGTTTCACCCGCGTTATTTTCAATAAACAATATAGCCTATCTGTTATTCTGATGCCTAAACTATTTTACTGTAGTTTCAATTAAAATCCGTTCAGTAGTTTTTGCGTGAAAGAGTAAAAAACATCTATACTTACAAACTTTCACATTTATATTATTAATATTCACACATTACAAATAAACTATAACAATATATATAAATTCAAATAAACTTAGTATGAGCACTTTTGATTAGTAATTTTTTTTTATTCTACTAATTCGAAACGCACTCATAAGAATGAACAAGAAACGTGCGTATTGTCCTTTTAAACAAAATGAATCTAAAAAGTTTTCTACCTTTTCTAAAACAGTCAAAACAGCGCAATTCAATTGGATCGGAAATACGTTTCGAGAGAGAGAGCAGCCCACTCTACTCTAGAAACTCTTAGAAAATCGGTAAAAAAATAATCAGTCAAAGTATAAAAATATATTTAATCATATTTTTTTTATCACTATCCCTACAGTTCCCAAGTTTCCTTGATAACTTATTTGGGTGATTCGAACATGATGTATATATTGTCTAAGAAATAAAGAGAAACAATTCGTGCTATCACTGAGACTTCTTAACATTAATTAAAATCCTTCATTAGAAAAAAATGTATCCTAGGTGCATAAAAACAAAAATTAGCCGCGGCACTGTAGCAACCACACTACAACATAATGAGTTGATTGTATGTGTTTCTAAGTTTTATAAGGTATACACCCTAACATTTTCACAGCCAAAAAACCTACTTGTTCAATGTATTATTTACATCCTATTTCTATTACATTTATATATTGTTTGCACTTTTATTTTGATACATTTTTTGATAATGCAATGTGGTCTTAATGTTTTAGGGTACAAACACAAACTTCTGCCTTAGCCTAAAAACCTTGTCTGGGTTACATTCAGAATGTATGTATAGTTATGTATACTACTGGTCGAAATTCGATCATAATTAATTTAAATTATAAGTTTGAACATTATTAAGAGCATTATTCTAATGTCAAAGACTGTGCTTCTATAATCACAGACATTGGCAGTCAAACAGACAATAAACAAAAGAGTATATATGTGTGTATCAAATACATGGTACTGTGTGTCATATTTTTTTTATTGATTGTATGTATTTTTTATGCATTATTTTAAAAAATATTAGTATTGCAGTGCTTCTAAATTGTACAAACTGAGAAAAAAGAGAAGTTTTTGCTTCACATATTAATTACTTATTATAACTTACAATATCTATCAGATACAGCATATCACTTGTAGCTCCATTTAAAGTATTATTTACATCAGATTTTTATTACAGTTATACAATATCTGCATTTTTGTTTTGATACACTCTGAAGTAGTAACTTATATCGCCTTCAACTTGTTCTTCCTGAGGTACACCATCTTCTTTGATTGACTGGAATCTTAGCTTATCTATATCAGGAAAGAAAGTGTCGCAGACAAATGCTTTTTGTATTTCTGTGAGATAAATTTTACTACATTTCGGATGTCCCATTGCGGCCTGGAAATAGAAGGATAAAGCAGTAAATCAATATGTATTATTCTTCTGTAATTATTGTTAGCAAAATACCATGTGGTGGTAGGGAACAGTTAGTAATTAGTTGCTAGCAGTGATCACGGTTGTCTAGTGGTTTAGCACACTACTTTACTTTCAATGGTTGCGGGTTCGATGCATCACATGATACATGTTCTTGAATGATTGTTTGTATTTATCTGGGTGTTTTCTATGTATATTATGCATGATTAAAAAAAAATATCAGTTGTCTAGTACCCGTATCACAAGCTCTGCTTACCGTGGTACTAGATGGCACTGTGTTAATTGTCCAAGGTTATTTATTTATTAAAGGTTATTATATATTAAACTTAATATCATTCATATGTATGTTAGTCATATCTATAATGTATTTATAATATGGGCCATTAGTAGCCTATTATAAATAAATAAATAAAATAAAAACATTTGAAGTCATAAAAAACCTTGTATATTGATGCACCGCCAATGACCCATGCTGATTCTATATTCCTGTGACTCTCAATGTACTTTACAGCATCATCTAGGCCGGCTGTCACCACAACACCTTCGGGAACCTGGAAGTTATAGGAAAATGTGACATTATGTGTGATTCATAGTCAAATTGGGACTAATATAGAGTATTTATACTTGATGCCTTGTAATTAGTCAAGTTTTATTAAACTAAAAAAGAATTTTAAATAAACCTATTCTCAGACCTGAATATACATATAAAATTTCATCAAAACTGGTTAAGTCCTCTTGGAGGAGTATAAACATGAAACCTGTGATACAATAATTTTATTTATTTGACTAGCTACTCACCCTGGCTTCGCCCAGGTGAGTAGCTAGTCAAACACATGTCTTATATATATAAACCTGCCTGTTGAATCACTCTATCTACTAATATAAATAGCTTCAAAATCAGTTGCATATTTTAAAAATTTAAGCATACAAAGGGACGGACTGACAGTGACTTTGTTTTATATATGTAATGAAGATATAAAGTGTAAGTGACCCATCTCAGCATTATCCATGACAAAAGCCACAACACTGACTTTCAGTGGAACCAGGAATAAGTAAAAGCAAATTACCTTTGACTTAACTTCATCAACATTATGTGTAATAACAATGTTGACTCTATTAGAGAGTGGGCTGAATTTTGCAGGTATGCACTCCCATGTTCTTCTGCCCATAATTACTGCATTCTTTTTCGACGGATCTACCACTTTGGTGGTCATAGTTGTGAAATAAGCCATTTCTTTTCTGGAAATAGAATGTTTTTACATATCTGGAATGGCAAAGAAACTCACCTGGCTGAAACTGGGAATCATCATTTAAATACTTGAATAGCCATCATGAATTGCTATTTAGAGACTAAAATGTTTTGCCTGTATACATAAACAGTACCACAAGCATTATACCATCATCGCTGTTATCCCAGACGGTGGGATGGAGTCAAAGATAACAATATTGTTGACTCCAACTGTCTATTTTCTTTCCACAGATGTCCCATCAGCGTCATCATCAACTATTAGAAAAGATGTGCACAATTTCATATTCTTAAAAATATCTAGTACAATCCCAATTTTATGTCCAATGCCAAAAATTCAGTAGCGTAACTATACCATCTAATGTCTGTGACTTATGTTTCTTTATAAATAAAAAGATAGACCTTAGAGTTTCTTACAATTGAGTATAATATATTTATTAATAAATTTATTATTTATACATTACAAATATTACATTTCGTGTCCGCTATGTTCATGGAATTTAAAGGCCGGGAAACTTTCACCGTTCTGCCGGGTTTGTTACGACTTGCAATGGGGTCGTATTAGCACATTTTAGGATACCTATCATCTAAAGGAATACTGGTTGGCACTTTTCATTGCATGTTTCTATTAGAAAAACGTTAAAAGTTTTAACATAGATTAAATAAAAGTCCCTTCGTAGTCAAACTTTACTTTTTTTATTGTACTTACTTTAATTTCCAAGGCAGAGTACCATTGACTCCAATGCCCATGTTTTGGCATGCTGCTGCAATTAACTTAAGTTCAGCCATCGTTTACTTCTAGACTATCTTTAAGATATAGAAAACAAACAAACATAAAACGATTCGAATTTCGAACTAATGGAAAAATTTTGTTTGTCTGATGTCAAATGACATAACCTATTCTACTGTCATTGTCAACTGTCAACAGTATTAGGGATGGCACAAATAACCAACAATGGAAAAACAGATTATTATTCAATAAAACATTTATTTCATTAATTATGATTACATTCCAAAAGTCAACTTTATAATCATCATTACAAAAATGATTTGTTGTTGTGATGTCCAAACAAACGAGTTAGAGTCAATAATACAAAACTTAAAAAAATATAAACATCTTACTAAGTGGCCTAAACCTAAAAAGAATACTTTAAAAAAATATTATCTATTAATTTGAAGTAAAAATAATCGATTAATTAATAATCGATTTATACGTCAAAAGATCGAAAAAACTCCTACGTAAACTGTACGACGGTATAGTCAAATTAGTAAGATATTGATATGCTTTGGATACTGTAATAAAAGGTGTAATTTACAGGTACTAAATTAAATCACATCAAAATAAATACTTTTATCGGTTTTGGTATTTAAAATATATAAAGTTTGTGGTCTCTTCCATTAAGTATTTAATTTGGATAAATAATTTGTCCAAATTATTTGAAAGTTATAACGATAAAAATAAACACGCCTGTTACCTGAATGAAAATAAACAAGACACGTGGACAGATTCGTAGTGTGGTGCCCATTTTGCTGATTGTCAGGTGATCATAACTAATACAACAAAGTGTGAAACATGTTTATTTAGAAAATACTGTTGTGTTTTCATGTACTATACATATATACGACCATCAAGTAGGCAACCTGTTTGTTATTCCAGTTACATAAAAAAAGTATTATCTCACGTCATAGATGTCGCCACCGTACACAATGTTTATAGCGTTTTCGAATTTCGAATGCGTCGGTAAAGATGTCCGGCCATGTGGCGCAGTTTTATGGGTTAATGGCAGATAAATGGCCAACATTGGTCCCAGGCGGTCATTAACCGAATTTATTGCAGGCATTGTGCTACCAGATTTTATTATTCGCCCGTCGACTTAATAAAAATCTTTTATTTTCTTCAAGGAGCCCCCTTTGTTTTATTGCAAACTAGCTGTTACCCCCAATTTTGTCTCTAATTTTTTTTTAATCTGGCGTTGTTTTTTCTCGTAATATAATCTATCTTCATATCAAATTTCATTACGTTCTGTTCAACCGTTTAATCGCGAAAGGTAACAAACAGATATAACTACTTTCGCAGTTCATATATTAGCAACTTCTATTGTTTTTTTGAGACAAATAGACCTGTGCCTACACTTGTAATATTTCTGTCAATAGTCGAGACCCTCATTAGTTTACCTCTCCAGATAACATATCGTCGAATGTACACGTTACTAATAAGGTATGTAGCTCAGTATCAAATAAATTTGCTAATGTGCAATAAATAATACAATTATTTCACTTGTTGAGTATACAGGTGAAATAATTGACCTACAGATATACCTACCTACCTAGATACTGCAATAAACAACCTCATCACATTATATTAATATTATAAATGCGAAAGTTTGTGAGTACGGATGGATGTTTGTTACTACACAAACCAAACAAAACCTACTGAACAGATTTTGATGAAACTTTACAGTTATATAGCTGATACATAACATATGGGCTATAAATTTCATGCGGGTCAAACCGCGCGCACAGCTAGTCATATATAATGCTGACCCTCGTGATGTAACTACTTTATAACCAAATTCAGAGGCAAACAACGCTTCTAGCTATAGCTAGCGTTCTGTAAATCTAAAAATGGATTTCTACGAATCACAATAACAAATGAAATTACTTTTTTCGATAGGTAGATAAAGGTGAATGTTTTGTTTTAGTAATTTTGATGTTCATTGTTTCCTTACTCTTTTTACACAGCTAAACATGAGTTTCACCAAATCAAAATAGCAACTGAAATTATTTATTTATAAGTATAATCGAAAAATCTTTATTCAAATAAACTTAAATTTAAGTTACTTATTTATTTGGGTATATGGTGGATATTTATTTTTCTCCTCCGATCGATTCGTCCGTCCGTCAAACGGGATCGAAATTACGATGGCCTGAGTCGAGGTTTGAACCCCTAGCGGTGCCCTCAGACAAAATCGTATCCATCAGGCGGGAGTTGGCCTTCAGCCGCTCCATAAGTTCTTCCTTTGGTTTGGAGTGCCATCTGCACTCGCCCGCTATCGTCTGGTGAAGCTGTAAAGGCCAGCTGCAGCCAACAGTATTAGAGTAGTCTGAAAATTTTTTGTTTTATATTTATAGCTGTTCTTACATTTTTTTACTCACTGATGCAGCTAGTCCAAAAAGAATGTAATATAAATCGAAAGATAAATTGTTTATTTGATGTTCTACCGGTATTGTTTACTCGCTCAGTGGTTGCGCCTTATTCAATCACTGACTGTCAAACAAACTTATGAATCTGGCAGATTATTGGCAAGAAAGAATCGAAATTAAATCGAATGGATACAATTACGATTAAATACGATGATATTCACTCTCTTATGGCAATATCGGAGCTTTATGATATTCAATACAATAAAATCTCTTACTAAGATGTGCGTCCAATCAAAATAATAATATTTTTGTATTAGAGCTTGTGTTATGGGTACTAAACAACTGATATAAATACATAGATACCTATTTTTTGTAAATACATACATAATATACATAGAACCTCGACGGTTACAAGCAATCATACACTTGAATACAAATGTTTGTACCGTGTGAGGAATCGTATCGCGCGACCGTTGGAAGTAAAGCGGTGTGCTAAACCACTAGACCATCGAAGCCGTCAAAAATAAATTTTTATTTAATTTTGTTTGTCAATTTATATTTCGAACTGACTGTCTGGTTATGGAAATAACAGTAACACACAAAATGAATAATAGCGCCGACAGTTTTTTTTCGTTAATTTGCTAAGACTTTATAAGAAGCTAAGACGTATCCAAGAGATGCCTCCCGTCCGCCTTATCCACAGATCGATCGGTCGGATCGATCCACAAACTTTAATCGAAATTACAACGGACTGAGCCGAGGTTCGAACCCCTAGCGGTGTCCTCAGTCTAAAGTCGTATCCGTCAGGCAGGCGTTGGCCTTAAATTGCTCCTTAAGTCTTTCCGCAGGTTTGGAGTGCCATCTGAACCAATCATTCGGTGAAGTTATAAAGTCCAGCTGTGGTAAATTAAAAAAATGTGACAACTATTCAAAAGTGCTTCAATGTACCTACCTAAGTTTGAATAAATGATTTTTTATTCTATTCTATTCTAAATTCGAACATTTATATTCTTGAGTATAATTGTTTTGGTCTGGGTGTTTTCTATGTACATTATATAACTAATCACAAAAAATGTGTTTTAGTATTTCTGTCAGTTGTCTAGTACCTATAACACAATCCCTGCTTAGCTTGGCACTAGATGGCGGTGTGTGAATTGTTCAGGATTATTATTATTGTATATACCTATTTATAAAAAAGCTCCAGTGTCATGTTTTATCACTATAATTGACAATACGACAGCATAGTACTAACAAATTAATCTTTACATAATATCGTCCTTGTGGATTTATTATCTACTAGCTGATTTGCGCAACTTCATCTGCATCACACACATTATTTATATTATTAACCGGATCTTAACACGAATAATTTTATGGCAAATAAAGGTATTTACCTCTCTCGACGTTTCGACTAGGTTTTTTTTGTATATGATAATGAAATGGAGCACCCGCCTGCGCTAACGGTTTACGCTGGCGGGGCACCAGTGGAAGATGATGAGATGAGAATGAGGTCAGGTCAATTAGCCAGTTTCCAGGGGGAACCGCGTGGAGGTTAACCTGACATGGTACATTGCTAGCAATGGGGTCGAGAGTCCACATTACTAATAATCCCTTTCCCCCTTTCGACTAGGTTGCACTAGCCGTGGTCACGAGCTGACTGTCAGCTCGTGACCACGGCCTTTATTTGCCATAAAATTATTCGTATTAAGACCCGGTTAATAATTTAAATAATGTATATTAAACACGAAAGTTTAAAATTAACTATTGCATCACACTATATTTACATTTATCATTATATTTCACACAATTTACATAATCTTTTTAAATTATAGATATTCTGATGTAAAAACTATATCACTGTAAAGTTTCATTAAAATCCTTTCAGTAGTTTTTGCGTGAAAGAGTAACAAAGATCTATCCCATCCATAGTCACAAACTTGCGTGTTTATAATATTAGTAAGATATATTAGTAATACCATAGATAAGATAATATTACATACATTACTATTATTTTACTCACTAACCACGAGGTTATTATTTATAAGAAAAAATACTATGATGTACGAACATCATAGTATTTTTTCTTATAAATAATAATGGAATGGTACACCCACGTGCGCTAACGGTTTACGCTGGCGAGACACCAGTGGAGGATGATAAGATAACCATAAGGTCAAGGCAGTTAGCCCATCGTGGTAAATTCACCATGAATTTATCACGATGGTTTCCAGGGGGAACAACGTGGAGGTCAACCTGACGGGGTACAATGTGGTAATTATAGTCCACATTACTAACAATCCCCTACATCATAGTATTTTGATCGACCCTTATAGGTCGTAATCTCGTACAATCATATATGGGGTTGAAAATGTTCTCATTGTAGCCAAAAATCTGGGGGAAAAGGGGTTGTTAGTAATGTGAACTAATTACTCCATCGCGTGCAATGTACCGAAACCTGTTGGTCGCTGTCAACAGCGTTAGAGTAGTCCGAAAAAAACAGATCAGACTTTTTCGCAAGGAAAGAACAACAACACAGAAAGTATTATATCCGTATCCGGCAAAGATTAGTGATACATGACACAACCCCACAAATTATAAACAAAGTTAGGGTTGCTATACATTTCTTCACTTCATTACATAGTATAAAATAAAGTCGCTGTCGTTGACTGGCCGTCCCTATATATGCTTAAATCTTTAAAACTACGAAACGGAATTTAAAGTGGTTTTTTTTATAGATAGTGATTTAAGAGGAAGGTTTATATGTATAATACATATATACCCGGGCGAAGGCGGGGCGAGTAGCTAGTTTAACAATAATAATAATCTGAAGACAATTCACACAGCGCCATCTATCATCTATCTATCTCATGTTAAGCTAGCTAAAGCTTGAATTATGGGTACTAGATAATTGATACAAATACAAAGATTTTTTTTCGTAAATACATACATATTATACATAGAAAACACGCAGACCGTTACAAACAGTTATACTCATGAATGCAAATGTTTGTGCCGTGCGAGGAATCAAACCCGCAATCATTGGAAGCAAGGCGATGTGCTAAACCGCTAGACCTTGGAGGCCGTCATACAAAGGTCGTGAATAATAAAAACTAGTTTCATTTCACATTTTTATCAAAAATAGTTAAGTACCCATTATGTAAGTAGGATATTTATTTATCTGTTGATCAATCTGCCTTTCTCTTCTCACACTTCGCCACTTTTCAAATCATTATGAGCATGAGCACATTGAGGTTTTCTAAAAGCCGGCACCCCTGCAGTTGACATCCCGAGACTAAATCTTCTCGATTTTTCCACAGAAACCTGTCGACGGCGACAATAGCTTCTATCACTTTGACAAAGCGACACGATGTTAGGCCCAACGATGACGATCTTCCATTTTCAAGAGATAATACTAAAGAATTCCGTTTAATGCACACCTATTGAGTAAATAGACGGCACTTAATTTTATTATCGCTTTTGTATAACTAGCTGTGCCCGCGGTTTCACTCGCTTGACATTTCTAGCCTAAGTGTTATTCTGATGTATAGTTACTAATATTATAAATGTGATAGTAGGAATGTTTGTTACGCTTTCACGCAAAAACTACTAAACCGATCGTCATGAAAGTTTGTACACGTGTTCTTGGAGGTATTAGAATGAATATAGGATACTTTTTATTAAAAAATAACTAATATTTCTGTAAAAAAAACAAAAGAAAAATTAATATCTACATTTTGCTACTTCAGCGCATCTAGCAGGCAGTAATGAAGAGAATCGTAAAGAATAGAATAGAAAGTCATTTATTCATATAAACTTACATTGAAGCACTTTTGAATAGTCATTACATTTTTTTTTTAATCTACCGCTCGTTTGGAAAGCTGTCTCATCACAAGAAGAACGAGCAAGAAACTTGCGTGTTGCTCTTTTAAATAATTTTATTATTACTTTACATTTTTATGTTTAAGTGTGTGAATACAAATCAATTAATGATCTCCGATACTTATTTAATAGATTCAATGCGAGTGAAGCCGCAGGTAAAAGCTATATTTGTAAAGTTCAATAAAATCCGTTCAGTAGTTTTTGCGTGAAAGAGTAACCAACTTTTATCCATTCATCTATGATATCATATATCTAATCTTTGAGAGGCCTACATCCAGTTGTAAACTCAATGGACAGATGATGATGATGAATGAGTAGATAGTAAGTATTTAATGAGATGGCCTCGGTGGTCTAGAGGTTTAATACACTGTCTTACTTCCGATAGTCGCGGGTTCGATTCTTCACACGGCACGAACATTTGTATGATTTTTTGTGTCGGTCTGGGTGTTTTCTATGTACAATATGTACACCCAGACCTAAAATACATATTTAGAAAAAAAAATGTATGTATTTGTATCAGTTATCTAGTACCCATAACACAAGCTTTAGCTGGCTTAACTTGGGTCCAGATGGCGCTGTGTGAATTGTCCTGAGATTATTATTATAATTTTAATATCACTTTCAACAAGATGCAATTTAGTTTTTCACGGCCGCCATGTTTATATTGAAATTCATATTCTTTATTGAACAGATAATACAATTTGTATTATCTGTTCAAGAAATAATTATTTGTTTGTGTGTTTGTATGTAATGCAATGTATGTTTTTTTTCGTTCTGTAATTGGTGCAATAAAGAGTATAAATAAAACCAAAAAAGAAATAATAATATAATTTAAAGAAAGCCAGCAAAGGTGGAATTATTCCTAGAAGAGATCTCGTGTAGTCAACACAAAACAGTGGCGCAAAAAACTGGCGCAAAAAAAGTGAAAACTTCTAAATAGTATACAAATAACAAATTGTATAATCTAATATAAAAGTAATGTATATAAATACGAATATATATATATATATATATATATAAGATACAATAAACATACATATATAATAATATATAATTCATAAATATTCTATCATAATAAAGTAATAAATAATGATGAAAGTAATCATGCATGCAATAATCGTGCATGGCAATAGTGTTTCATGCACGGGATTTTCATTTAATGTTCGACATAGACACCTATGTAAATATACATTGTAAATAAACTGGCTTTTAAAAAAGTAAGTAATTCTTTGGAATTTCTTGCCAGTTCTTCTCAATTGGATCTATATACTGAACTAGACGGTAGGGAAAAATTTACAATGTAAAAAATTTGACGTTCATAAGCGGCTAAAATGTCCTACATGAATAAATGATTTTTGAAGTTTGATTTTTGATTCATTGGCAGATAGGTAGTATGATTTAATCTTTTCTTGAAGGAACCAACAGACGGGATCTGCTGAATGCATAAAGGGAGTCTATTCCACCATGAGCCGCACGGAAGGAAAAGGAGTTACCCATAAATTACAGCGGTTTAAAACACCGCTTTACTTCCAACGGTCACGGGTGCGATTTCTCAAGTGCAAACATTTGTATATATATGACTAGCTGTTCCCGCGACTTCGTACGCGTGGAATTTAACTTTATTTTTCTAAAATAAAAGAATGTTTCTAAAATAAAAGTAACCTAAGTTACTCCTTATTACATCAGCTACCTGCCAAATAAAGTCCCGTCAAAATCGGTCCAACCATTTCAGAGATTAACCGCAACAAAGAGACAGACAGACAAAAATTGTAAATAATGTTATTTCGGTGTGGTACATACACCGAATTAACATTATTATATTCATATGCATGTAATAAAAACGATTATTTCAACATTACAAACATACACTCCAATTTTATTTATAGGTATAGATTATTTGTGTTGGTCTATATATATGATCTATTTATTTACAAAAAAATATCGAAGTATATCTATCAGTTGTCTAGTAGGTACCTATAATACTAGTTCTGTTTAATTTTATGGATTTTTTATAACACAGGGGACAAACGATCATGCTGCTCACCGGATGGTAAGTGATTACCGCCGCCCATAAGTACCCGCAACACTAGGGAATTGCAAGTACGTTGTCGGCCTTTTAAAAAGAAATAAGCTCTTTTCTTAAAGATCTCAATATCGTATCGGTTCGGAAATACCATTGCTGGAAGGTGATTCAGCAATGTGGTTGTGCGCGGCAAAAAGTTTCTAGAAAACCGCACTAAGGAGGACCGCCATTCATCTAGATGATCAGGATGGTATTTTAGTTTCTGGCGGGTGGTACGGTGGTGAACCTCAGCAGCTGGTATTAATCCGAACAGTGCCTCAGAACACTCCCCGTGATATATGCGGTAGAAAATGCACAGAGATGCAACATCTCGCCGCAGAGCTATTGGATCGAGTCTGTCACATAGACGTTGATTACCAATGATTCTGGCTGCTTGGTTCTGAATGCGGTCAAATGGAAGTAGCTGATATTGTGGTGGTCCCGAAATGTCCTGGGTTATTATTATTATTATTCTGTGGGTTTTATTAGGCAGTAAATTTGGAAATCGATTGTTACAAATTTGGACTGATGATTCCATTGCTAGCAATTTACCATATCAGGTGGACCTCCAGGCGGGTTCTCCTGGAAACCATCATGATAAATCCCTGGTGAATTTGTCACAATGGCATAACTGACCTGACCTCATGCTCTTCTTATCATCCTCGACTGGTGGCCCGCCAGTGTGAAACGTTAGTACAGTCGGGTGCAACATTCCATTATCATTAATTTAAAAAAATGGGTATTACTGTGAAGTTACTATGTCAATTACTTAAATATTGAATAAGAAAATATAAATATACTTTGGTAAATAAAACTACCTATTCTGGTGAGAAAAACTTTTTTACGGTAGTTTGTTTACGATTTTACACACAAAATTTATGGTGCAATCTAGATCTCTTACGTCTACAGAGATTTATTAAAAAATATTCTCCACGACTGATCAAACAAAAAATATGATAATCCAAGCTGTGAGATTTCCCGCCTTAACTTCTCGACGTGGGCGATTCCCGCCAAAAATAATATAAAAATGCACTCTTGTCAAAATAAAAATAAAACACGTTCCATTTCACGCGTAATTAGGGCGTACTCAATATCTTTTCATACCAACTTTTTTCTGTAAGTGGGCAGGATAATAAAAGAGAGGGATGTAGGGCGACGTTATCTAATCGAAAAGGACGGGTATATTGTGTACTTTCTCTTATAGATTTGTTGAAAGCTATATGGCTTGGTTACGTTCAGTTTTCAGTGCCGGGCGTTCAGTCGTTTGATATAGACGTCTTTGTATATTTCTCGCGTATTTTCCGCATTTTGTACTTGTGATTTTTAATTCCCGTTGCGATGTACCTCAATGGGGTTTTTAGGACGAACGAACCAGTCGAGTGTAATCTGAAGGCGGATAATTGAACAAATGGTTGATTTCTAATATAGGAGCATTAAATCTGTCGAACTCTTGGTTGTAAAGGATTAATACGTGTTTGTATTCTACCGTTTTTATGTTACTATGTAATAATTTATATTGCTTATATGTGAAGTGTTTAAAAAAAAAGTGCAATGTGATGCTCTCACAGTCTTATAATTTTTAAATTTGGAAGCTCTGGAATCAGGTGAGTTCACTATTTTTGTATTTTTTTATTGTTTATGATTATTATTTAAAAATCGAATTACGTTAATTATTTAGTTAATTTGTTAATTATAAATATACCTACTTAGTAATTTATATAAACATGTGTGGAAGCTATAATGATGATCGCAATGGTGTAGATGTTTAGCACTCGCGTCTTCGTTTGCGGGTTCAAACTCTCGCAGTACCAACAATTTGTATTAATTAATATATATTAGTTGTGATTTAGTTGTTTATCTATATGTAATATGTATTTTGACCAGATTGTATGTTCATCCTGTTATTGTCCACTGGGAAACCCAGTGGAGATAGTCAACTAAAGCACGTGCACAATTCCATAAATATTCAGCCATAAAAAGTGACACCAGTGGAAAGTGATAGAATGATCATGAAGTCAGGTTAGTTAACCCATACAACGATTTAACTATGATGATTTCCAGGGGGAACCACGTGGTCCCCCGACTGGGTACCAATTACTAGTAATTCTTAGTTTTTACATCTAGTCCTTATACAGTTTGAAAATAACAAATGGAGGATGATGATAAGATGAGCATGAGGTTGAGGTCAGTTAGCCCATCGTGACAAATTCACCAGGAATTTAACACGATGGTTTCCAGTGGGAACCACGTGGAGGTCGACCTGACATAGTACATTGTTAGCAATGGTGTTATCAATCCACATTAGTGACAATCCCCTTCCACCCCGGAAGGGGATAGTTAGTAATGTGGACTGATGACCCCCTTCGCGGTTTCCCCTGGAAAGCATCGTGATAAATTCCTGATGAATTTGTCTCGATGGGCTAACTGATCTGACCTCATGTTTATATTATCATCCTCCACTGGTGCCTCGCCAGTTTAAAGCGCGCAAGAGAGTGAACCATTCACACTCACACTCACAGTAAAAAATATATATGAACTGTATAATTATTGCCAGTTTAAAATAATATAATAAATAAACAAAAGCATACCATTACTGCTGTTATCCCAGATGAGGTAAACAGAAGTATTACCAACTGTCGATGTTGTGAACACAACACTTGACATGTCCACTGCCCACATTTCGCTTGGTATATCTTATTATTACTTAATGTTATAAACGCGAAAGTTTGTAAGTATGGTTGGATGTTTGTCGCTCTTTTACGTAAAAACTACTGAACAGATTTTGATGAAACCTTACAGTAATATAGCTTATACATCAGAATAACATATTGGCTATAAATTTCACGCGAGTGAAACCGCGGGTATAGCTAGTTTGAAATAATTTGTCCACCGTGGTAGGCGGCGTGCCTACCCTCGTCTAACAATTTTTTTAATTTGGTATCGATGTTTCGTCTTATGAGAAAGTCAGATAGAATTACATATAAACTGACACACAAGGTTTTAAATTACGTTAATTTAAAACATTGTGTGTGATTTATAATTTAGAGATCCTTTGAGTATCACTTGATGGGACAATTCCCGATCACTACCCTCACCCTTGAGGAAGTAATTAAGAACACGAAGAAGATTTCAAAATTAAGTAAATGACAATATCTTAATGCCTCCTTTCGTAAGTCGTACATGTTTGTATGGCTGATCTAGTTAGTTGAAGTCACTACTCCCCATTACTAATAATCCCTTCCATCCCGAGTGGAAGGAGTTAATTTGTAATATGGACATATAACCCCATTGCTAGCAATGTTCCATGTCGGGTTGACTCCACGCGGTTCCTCCTGGAAACCATCATGATAGAATACCTGGTGAATTTCTCACGATGGGTAACTGACCTGGGGCCGTATTATGAACTCTTATTCCCATTCAGTTTACGGCTTAAACTGAACTGCCTGGCGATTTCGTATTACGAACGCTATTAGCCAGCCAGTCAGCGGTCACGTGACAGCTGAACGTCTTCTGCCCGAAAACTGACCGGCTATTTCGTATTATGAGCGTTTCATTTGACAGATCTAAGCGGACGCAACTGTCAAAAAGACCGTTTAAAAACAATTCAGTTTATTTACGGTGGCTTCATATTAGCTTTTATAGAATTGTTTTCTAATTTATAGCTTCATTATTGTAATTTGGTTATTATTTCTATTTCTATGTCAGTTTTTATTATGTTTATAACATGTTTGTGCAGTTATTTCGATTGTTTTTGTTTCGTTTTAATTTTAATTATGTGTGATGAACTCGAAGTATTGGAGTTTTTGGAAATGTGTGCACCCTACGAAAAAGAAGTAAGGAAAGTGAAAAGACGGCGATTACGCGACCAATCCAATAAAAATGAACAATTTAGAAAACGTTATAATCTAAATAAAGATTTGGTGCGTAATATGCGTGCGAACTCATATGCCGGTATCATCGAAATTTACAGACCTACCAGTGGAAACTAAGGTATATTGTATTGGAATTATTTCACTAAATCACTAGCTGACTATGTCAGGTTTTAGTAGCATTATTATTTATGCTACAGGCATATTTATCAACGGCCTATTAGTGATATTGCTGTTCATTCTTTAGCACAGCCAATGGCAAATAACCGATTTATTGCATTTACCCAACATCCAAAAGTAAATACATATATAAAATTCCAAGGACATCTGAGTAAAGGATAGATAATAAATATTCAAAGGTATCTATTTCTATACAATTAGCAACTGTTATTGTTGCAAATACATCTATGAGTACCATGTACCATACCATATGATATAGTGATAATATATATGGTAAAATGTATGCATACAAGTAAAGCCTAGAAAGCAAGTATACACAAGTATGCAACAGTCTGATGATGTGCAGTCTCTCCGGCACTTTCCTCCGAGGACAATTAATTAAATTAAATTAATTATATTTTAGGTTTTATAATTGGAATTTGGAATGCTGGGTGTATTGGGCTGTATTTGACTGTACACATGCCACCCCATTGTAAATTAAGAAGAGATATTACTGTAGAAAACAATACCATTCATTAAATATATAATTGGTAAGTGAAATATAAATTAAAAGACATGTTTAATATATAAGCACTTTTAATATCTTTTTTTAATATAATTATATAAATTAACAATAAACAAGATTTTAGACATGCAAAATATGTTAATGATTATACATCTCTAAAGCTACTTATATACTAACAATAAATTGTTTACTTAAATATTAAATGACCATAACACTTAGACATATGTTTCAAATAATCTGTATCCATGTAATTAATCTCATATGTTTCAAATAATATTTATCTATTAATTATTCTCTTATGTTTCAAATAATCTTCATCTATGTAATTAATCTGGAAAAAAATTTTAGGTTAGTAATGCTGACATGGAGATTATAAGTGTGGATGCCAACTGGAACTGGAGCTACTCATGACATTTGGGCAAACCAGAGGCATTAAGCAACATCTAGAGGACTTAAGCTGGAATAAATCCTTATGATTACTTGGTAAGCACAAAATTTTATTATGAAACTACAAACATCATTACATCTAAGCTCTAAACTTCAGTAATTTAGAAACATAGTTATTTATCAGCACCAACAGTTATTGTGCTGTGTTTTAATGAAATAATACTTTTTGTAAATAAATATTAATATTATAGTATATAATATGTTGTTTTTTAGGAGATCCAGGATATGCTTTAGAGAAGTATACTCCCATCTCAAATGCTATACCAGGACCACAAGAAGCATATTACACTGTAAGAACATGGAATATCATTGAGAGCACAATTGGGCTTCTAGATTTAGATGCCTACATGTACTTTGAGTTCTTATAGAGAACTAAATGAAGGTCTAGCTGCTAGACAAACCCATGTTGTTTAGTTGTGGAACTAAGAAATTGAAACATTTATAAATAATAATATTGTTAATAGGTCAATGTTTTAATTATTTGTTTTTATAATAAATGATATAGGTACATTATTTATGTCTTTTATTGGTAGTTATAATTAAAGGGATATGATAATTTTATTATATACTAGTTATTACCTATGACTTTGTCCATATGGCATACCTAGTTTTTGTTAAAATAAATAAAATATCTCAAATAAAAGCAACTTGTTACTCCTTTACACAACTCATTACATATGACAGTGAAAGTATCCCTCAAATTTGGTCCAGCTGTTTCAAAGATTAGCAAGAACAAACAAACGGACAGACAAATATATATTTTTTTTAATTTCATTTATCTTACCTTATATATGTATGCATTTACTGAAAAGCTGTTGTAACTGGTGAACTTCAAAATTACAAACAGATACTTCAATTTATTTGCATAGATACATGTATTTCAGATTTTACTGAGATTCCTATTAAATGAAATAAATTAAAATTCAGATGGTTACCTTATAACACTTAAACTTGACAATCCTTTCCAGTCTTTAAAACCCCCTTTTCCTAAGGAGTTTAATTGTTGAGCGACGTCCTCACACAAGCGATTGGTATGGTATTCTTGGGCGGACTTATTAAAGCCATTTGCCATTTCCCTATGGGATTTTAAAAATCCCATATAATTTTAAATTACCGGTACGATACACGACGTTGGCGAGGGGTTTCAGTCCGTGATCTACAATTTAGTTAGATAAATATACAAATATAAACAGTTAAATATTTGCATCATTTTAAAAAACATTACTAAGAAAATGTTAGGAATACTTACGTTACATTAGGTATATTTTTCACAATAATTGAATTATTAAATTTAACTTGCGTATAAAGTCATGGTAAGGCTAAGTTTCAAATTGTACATTACTTTGCGCGGAATTTTAAGTAGATGCACAAAGTTCGTTTGGATATTACAATGAAAATATTTTTTACAAACAAATCGGAATTATTAAAAAAGACAATAAAACTGTCTGGAATATTTTTGTATATTACACAAATTCTACCATTGTATCTTAATTACTGTTTTCTATATTTAATTTACATTTATTTAATTAATTTTTTGTCCAAAAAGTGACACACAAAAACTCAACTTAACGTTGCAACGAATGTATGCGTATCCGAACGCAGCGCGAGAAAATCCACTAACCAGCCAGAGACAAACTATCCAGGCAGAATACGGTTTGAATTTGGACCCTCATAATACGAAAAAGAACAATTCAGTTTAAGGCCGTAAACTGAACTGCCTGGAAACTGACTGGATTTTAAAGAGTTCATAATACGCCCCCTGACCTAATGTTCTTCTTATCATCCTCCACTGGTGCCCGCCAGTGTAAACCGTTAGCGTAAGCAGGGGCATTATTTCATTATCATCCATTAAAAATAATAATCTTTCCCCCGGCCCTACTTTCAGACATATTAATAACACATCTGCGCCAAATATTACCTTCGCAGGTGATACCAATGGTAATGTAACACGCAATAAATCCCTGCGCGATATGACTCGATATGTTCGCACTATATAATCGTTATCACGCTGTACTTTTCACACTAGGTACCTAATACGTCACGGTTACTTAGGGTGTGGTTGTGTGAAAAAATAATGTGATTGTTATGATATAATCGATTGTAATTGAATAAATTATCGATTGCAATCGATTATTTTAATACATAATTGGAATGGCATATTAACTGACTGGCGCTAAAATATAACTTCGAGTTTAGTGTACTTGTTAATGTATTCCAATAACAATATATATGTAATCGAAAAGGAAAAACTAAATGACGCTATTTTATAACTTCTAGTTTAGTGTACTCGTTAAAATTGTAAAAGTACTTGTATCCAGAGCCGTAAAACATACTAAAATAAAGAAAATAAACGCTATAATATATAAATAAACAGACAGACATCACGCTATCGTGTAACCTGTGACACCACGGATCAAAATGTCATCAGATGTCATGTCTCTTATTTATTTAATATCAGTACACAAAAATAAAGTGTACATATAGTAGACTTAACACCTTGCGGCGTTATCAGTCGATCATGAGTGGCGCAGAAGAAGATTATTGATAGTGCACTGCTTTGAATACGACATATCTTATCCTGTATTTTAACAGCCCCTTAACTGAATTTCAATTCAGCTTATAAAGCAATCAGCAAGGCTGCTTTGAGGTAAGATATAATAATAATTTCGGGCGGGCATGCCCGTATGTACACGATTTTTTTTTACAAAGTTTCCTTCTTTTTACCTAAATATTTTTATTTTATTCTACCAAAAATGGCCTAGCATAAAATAAAAAACACGATTTATTAATAGATTATATTATACTATCGATTAATTAATAATCGATTATTATACACAATGTCACATCCCTACCGGTTACTTTATTTGCGTTTCGTTATTCTAATACAAACATATGTTAAATTTTCATTGTTGCCGACTATTTGTTTTCGCTTGTACGAAATTAGCTTTGGTATTTATTTAAATCATTTCATGTTTAGTTTAAAATAACTATTGTTTACACGTTTAATTTCAGTGTAAGGATACAGGGTTAGTTGTAAGGCAGGTTGGTATTTCAGCTTGGTATATATAGTCTTTATGAGAGAACCATTTTTACTTAGAAAGGATCTTACTAATATTGTAAACGAGAAAGTTTGTGAGTATATATAGATATATAGATTTGCGTCATACAGAACAATTCATCCCCACACGCTGGAATCTAAATGCCCCCGAACAGTGCGGTTTCAGAGGAGTTTCCTCCCGCGTACACTTGTGAAAGAACTTCCTGCCGAGGTTTTCCCACTAGATTACAGCATGGGGTTTTTCAAGAAGGGTATATTAAGGTTTCTTAAGGCAACGCGCACGTGACACCCCTGGTGTTTCAGGCGTTCATAAGCTATGATAACCCTTTACCATCAGATGGGCTGTATGCTTGATTGCCACCATCGTAGTATAAAAAAAAAGAAGGGAATTTGATGAATTTACAGTAGAATAACTTATACAAGAAGAAGCAGATTAACACATTGGATCTACATTTTATGCGGGTGAAAACTCGCACAGCATGTGTCAAAATATAAGAGAAACAATACTAACAACGTGGATTAATAATCCCATTGCTAGCAATGTATCAATGTCAGGTTGACCACGCAGTTCCCAATGGAAATCATCGTGATATATTCCCGCTGAATATGCTAACTGACCAGACCGGCCACATGCTCATTTTATAGTTCTCCAACTGGTCAATTATAAATACAAGAACAGTGACAATTGCAATTAGCAAAATAATGCAAAGAGTTTGCAACGGTGTAGTCTTAGCCATTTTTAGCGTTATTTTTTTGTTTTCTTCTGGTCTTTAGTAAGAGTATTTATCTAGGAGGAAAGCGGGTGGGATATGTGGGTTTTTACCCAATAAAACTAAAGGATGCACCTCGAGTCAAGCCATGTAGTTTCGGTAGACATTCTACCACGAGTATTGTTTTAGCGTAGGATATTAAAAAGAAAAAATATTGTTCCTTTTTTTGAACAGATACAAAGAAATAGGCTGTATGATCTACAAACCTTTGCTTGCCTATAGCAAATTAAAAAAAGCAACTACAGTTGATATAGATATTTGTTTTACTAAAACACCTACATACCGTCTAGCTTATACAACTACTTATTTTTTTTACACGTCATTTTTGCAAGCAATTGTGTCATACATTAATTTTGTCAAGACCGCCTCACTTGGAACAAAACAATAATTAGAACCATAAGTGGTTACATAGATTCAATTTTGGTACCCTCCTCAAAAGGGCGGTATTAACTTCTAATTCCTACAGAGCGTATAGTTAATTGCTCTGTGAGTCGTAGTGTAAAGAACATGGAATATTAAAAAAATACATTTCTGTTTGTGGTTTAATCACGTCAAGCAACTAAGTAGTTTACAAAGTAAATAGGCACATTGCGTCATACTTATTATTTGTCATAAATTATAATAATAATGTGGAACAGCGAACAGACAGTAGGTAGATAAGGTGACAATGAAACGCAATGCATATGAGTAAATATGGCGGCAACATTATTTTGGCGGGCTTTGTTCGTGATCTTTGTAGATTTTTTTTTATGTAACTAGAATCACAAACTATTTGACTTCGTATGATTTTAATTGTTTTTAATAAAACCCGTGTTATTCGATCTTAGTACTGCTATAATATAAATGATTTTTTGTTTTTTTAATTATACTTTATGACGAGTGAGCAAGATACATATATATTTTTCATTGTTTGTAATATTATATTACTTTAAAAAACTAAAACCTCTTTCAAAGGTTTAAAAAATACAAGTTACCGTAAGGTCTAACGTAGTTTCTTCCTTGCTGTGTATAAGTATTTGTAATATTTATTTTTAGACTTTAGCGTTTAGTACACAGTATTAATATTGTTAAACGAGTTTAAATACTAATAAATTTATGGTAAATAAAAATAATTGTAATTGTTATCGTATGTATTACTAAGTATACACAATGTAAATGAGTGTGCGTGTGTATGCATATATGTATGGTATATCTTAGTGTTTAGTTCTTATATTAATACTAGCAGACTCGATCACGCGTTGCTATGGCTCAGGTTCTTGAATAAAATAATAAATTGAGATGTAAGCTATCCTATCTTTCAAGTTGGATCAAATTGCACACAATGTGCACATCAAATTTGCAATCGGTTCAGTAGATTAGGAGTCCATCGCGGACAAACGTGACACGTAATTTTTAGATATAAAGTTGTGAATGCAATATTTATAAATGTTTTCTTTCTTTTTATTTACTGCAAAACCTAGTCAAAAACGTCGAGAGAGGTGACCTTTATTTTACTATAAAATTCGTGTTAAAACCCGTTTAACTAATTATTAATTTGTGTTTTTACCAAGAAATTAAGAAACTTTATTCACTTTAATTTGTTTAAATATAAAACTGAGTAGTGACATTGTCACATCTACTTGTAGACGTATTTCGGTTCCATCTACATTAATATTCAGAATGCTTTTCCAATAAGCCGCATACTTGGAAGTCATTAATTTTAGAGAAGCAATTTGCAAGTTAAAGACGGTCGCACAATAGGAGTAGGTATTACAAGTAACTCAAGTATTTCAATAAAAATAACATTTCAGGACAATTCACACAGCGCCATCTAGTCCCAAGCTAAGCAGAGCCTGTGTTATGGGTACTACCCAACTGATACAAATAAATAGATACTTTTTTTGTAAATAATAATCTCAGGACAATTCACACAGCACCATCTAGACCCAAGTTAAACTAGCTAATAAATTTTTTTATATACAGAAAAAACCCAGACCGATATAATCATACTCATTAATACAAATGTTTGTGCCGTGCCAGGATCGAACCCGCGACCTTCAGAAATAATGCTGTGTGTTAAACCGCTACACCACCCAGGCCGTCAATACTTCAGTAACTTGTTACTCAATATGATATTTTATCTAGTGAAAGGAAGATAAATCTTAAATGTTCTACAGTCAACTCTGAAATGTCATCCCTTCATAAAATCTTGGTATACTTTCAAAAAAGGTCTTGGTAGACTTTACAAAGTCATCTGCTTGGATACATTTATCTCCTTTATCAGATAGAAGAGTAGAAGAAAAGAAGAGATGTATAGAAGAGTGAGATAAGACGGTGAAATTACAGGTTAAGAAGTATGACATCTTACTCCTTTGGAATGGCAATGCTCAATGGAATGGCATTGTTCACACGATGACGTAATGGCTATGGTGTTTATATGTCCCATGAGCGTCTTGGCCTTGTGGTTAAGGTGTAGTACCTTCGACGTGGCAGGTCCTAAGAACGA